TGGTGGTGGCTCCATGGCTTCTCTCTGACCCCACCTCCTTCCTCCCAGCATTCAGCTTAGTTTTTCCTACCTAGCTCTGTTCGTCTATAGCTTGCTATAGGCCCAAAGCAGTTCCTTTATTTACCAGTGGTAATCATGGCATACAGAGGGAAATCCCACATCATCTTTATCCTCTTTACATAATATTTTTCTCTTTGTCAACACCACATAATAAAACTGATCTTTTCATGTTTGTCAGAGTTGAGAATAAAATAGTGTAGGATTTGCATTATTAGTTTATGACCCCAGATGTATGGATGTAAGTGTTAAATTACTGACTGAGAAGGGTTTTTTTGGTATATTTCACAGCTAGACCCCTCTCATCTTCAGAATTATAGCTGAATATATGAGAGTAGGTAAGGCCAATAGATGTCATGGTATTTTAAAATAAACTAAAATTTTGGTCATATACTAAATAGATATATATTAGAAAATATTTTGAAGATGTTTGTAACTAAGAATAAAAGTTCAGGGAAATTTCAAAAAAATATAGATTCTTCCAATTGGTAGGTATGAAGTCATATCTTCTTCACCTATATCTGGGTCAGAAATATTTGTGTCGCCATTCTGCTGCCACTTTGATGTTGTGCTTATCCAAGTCTCACAGTGATTCTCTGGAATTGATGTGGTTGAAGAGTTGAGAAGAGAAACATAATATTATGAACCTACCAGATATTTGTGAGTATAAAAAGAATTTCATAATTAATTTTTTAACACTGAATTCTTAACCTGCTTTCATAGAAACAATATAGCTGCTTATTTACTGTTAAAAATGCTCTTATAAATGTTTTCATGAACTTCCATACTATGTTGAGATGAATTCTTTCATATTTAGCCTGTTTTATATCCTTGCTATCATTACATTCCTTTATCATTTTCCTTCCTCTTACAATTCAGGATTAGAAAACTATTTTCACTGATTTTCCTCTTCTGTCTTCTAAGAAAGGCACATTACAATGTGGACTTTTATAATATTCTATAAATATATGACATATGTAACAAATTTACTATTCCATTGCCTTCTATAGAGAAACATGTTGTTAATAATATTGCATATATAATTATATTCATTGTATGATTTTTCCTTCATTTTCAAAGAAAAAGTGGGATTATAAGATACATCTTATTTGCATGTTATTAATCTTACCTAACAATAACATTAATGACAATTTGAACTTCCAAGTACACTAGAAATTTATTTCCCCAGTATTTTATCAATTGCATAATATCCCTTTTAATGGGAGAGGGACTAACTAGATAAGCATACATGTACAGCTTATCAATGGTGCTTGCTACTTCAAAAATCAGTCCTATGTTCAATGTGGAAGTATAGCTTGGAACATGTGAAAAAAAATGTCAGTGAAAGTTGACTTCTAACACAAAGGTCTTATAGATGTAAGTTAGGTTTGAGTTGATATTTCTCAATTTTATCTGTCAGACACTCTCTAGTTTCTGATTTCTAGTATACTGTCAAAATTCTAGTACGGGCCGGGCGAGGGTGGTGCACTCCTTTAGTTCCAGCACTTGGCAGTCACAGACAGGTGAATCTTCGTGAATTTGAAGCCAGTCTTGTCTACCTAGTGAGTTGCAGGACTGGCTCCACAGTTATAGAGAAACCCTGTCTTGAAAAGAGAAATCTGGTATGATTATGGTCTTCTTCCTTATTATAGCACTAACATGGAGTTTCCCAATCCATTTTTAATTTCAGTTCTTAAAAGATACTAAGAAAGTAGGCATCATAAATTATGAAGCAAAAGATCCAATGTATTTTTTAAAATTGTTAGTAAACAACCTCTGTCATGTTTGATCTAAGTAATTATACTAGCTTTCTTTTAGATTCCATTCCATTGTATACTTTTTCATTTTGATATTAGCATTTTATCCATATAACCTTAAAAATAGTCTCATCTGTAAATGATAATCAGGGATGGCAGCATGCATCTTTTCCTGACCCATCTTGCTGGTTCCCAGGAAATGAATATGTTTTCGTTTAAGACTAACTTTACCCTCCAGTGGTATTATTTACTTTTAATGTACCAATGATTATATTTAATGTTTTTCATTATAAATACAATTATAATTTTATTTTATTTATAACTTAAATAATAATTCTGAGAAAATGACTATATTTCCTATAGTACATCATTTATTCTCATGACCTGGAAAAGTTTGCAGAGACCTACTTTTATGTTGCTGAGTTTTGAAATGAAATATAGATTAATCACCTGAATGTGTGTGAAAGAGGGCTAGGGGTGAGACAGCCACAGCAAGTCGAGGTCAGAGCAGATGATGAGGTGATGGCCCACCTATGAAGATGCGATGGTTTTCATAATGTTTCTAGGCATGCTGGTGTTGTGAGTACTAAATATAATACTCTGTGTTAGAATTAGTGGCCCAGAAATACTGCAGCTAAAGTACTGCTTTGTGATCTAAGTCTGACTTTCCATTCTTCAAAAAAATATCAGCTATGGACAAATCCGAGCAGTCCTAAGTGCTCTGAAATATTATCTAGAGAGTTTAACTATGAAATTGGCTGGCATATATGACAGTGATCAAAACTCATATCATAATTTACATATTGAAAAATTATCATTTTGTTTATAATGATGGATGTCATAGCATTTTTTGTAAAATATGTCACTTACATTTTCCACATATCTTTTGTTCCAATTACTTCCTAGTATTCTTTCTAAGCATTTGTTTTATTTTTCTCTAGAAGTAATAGAGTACCATCATTTCATGGTACTATCATCCTAACACTGAGAAATTATACCATATCCTTATAGTCACTTCTTCATTGGGTATACTAACCCGATATGTGGTTCAGATTCAACATACTAAACTTGGTCACTTTCCACTTGCATCTTCTATGCTAATGTATCTACATTTGTTTGTTGCCACAAATTTTGTGTCCAAGGCAGAGTATCAGCATTCACCATTTTTTTAGTTTTTTACCTCCATATAAAATTCCAAATATTAATTTTTACTTTATTTCTTGCTCATGTTTTAATGTATTAATCCTCATATCTTTCTTAAAGCTCTTTCAATGTCATCTGATTCATTTAGTATAACTGAAATCATGGTATCGTAGACTACAAAACAAATAATTACGGGTACTCTTGATTAACTCAATTCCGTGTATGCAAATTTACACCTTGTTTACTCGTCTGAGAGCATTTATATTGCTTGTTCTTATTCCTTATGTTCTTAATAATTGTTTTAGAATGTAGCTTTTATGATTACCACATATGTGATTAATTCATTCACATTGGCCTAGAAATATTAAGAATTGGAGGATATGAGAATTTGATGGTACACCGTGAAAAGGGTCATGATAGGCCTCCACCCATCATTTACCCAAAATTTAATTTCTAGGAATTCTTCTATACAAATACTGTGACAAGTACAAGAATATATGCATCTAAATACTTACTGCATCAATAATGCCTGTCAAAAATACAGCATTCCAACCATGTAGTGGGTAACATACAATAAAATCAAACTAGTTGCATCTGTATAAATTTTTTGACAAAAGTGTATACATATCTAGAGTTTATTTTATTATTTATGGGTAAATCATATATTCACAGGTATCATTAGGTATGCATTAAATCTCTTTGAGTGGTTACATACTCACAAAAATGTTCTTGTAGTAAACTATGGACAGAGAACAAGTATTCGGGGGGGGAGACTTTTCACTATATATCTTTTGAAAACATTATTTATGTGAATGTTTGTGTGTCTATGAGAGTGTTGGCAATAAGTGTTCAAAGTTCTTCAGGGAACTGAAGAGGGTGTCAAATCCCCTGGAGCTGGATTGGGTACTTGGAACTGAACTCAGGAATAGAGAAAGAGATCCTAACTGCTGAGCCATTATCTCCAGACACAGTATTATTTATCTTTTAATCTATAAAAGTTTCTTTACAAAAGCAAATGTGCAAAATGAACTTTGCATAGCTGAAGCCAAAGCTCCGCTCCTAGAAAATGTTGATTTTGATACATACATTCCTATAAGTACAATTAATAATAAAATGCATATTTAATCATTTTAAAATTTAGTTTAATTGCTATGATGCTGAACACATTTGTATTCTATTTTTTCTACAATACACCACATACTCAAAAGTGATCCACATAAAATAACTATCTATGCATTCAATACAAAAATCAACTATACCTACTCTGGACATAACTACTGGGCTTTCATTGGAAATGACTACCTGGGCTGCTTCTTGAAAGTTAAAGTAATATTAATCTCCAAAATATCTTCCCAATTATCCTGAAAATTTAGATCAGATTTGATTAGTTATGAAATTCTTAAACATAGATGGTACTGAGGAAAGTAGTTCATAATACAGTACTTTTAAAAGAGAAAGTTTTAGTACTAAGCATGGTAGTTCTTAGGTTTTTCTGAAGTAAAAAAATTGGTTAATAATTTGAACAATATTATATAATTCTGTAAGATAATACATTTTAGAGCATTTTATGTACCCATAAGGTACAATCAACCAGTTCTAATTTTCCCTACATTCAGATAAAAGATACTCCAAATGGTAATAATCTAGATCTTGAAGCACATTTTCTAATTTGATTGGGTTTTAAATGATGAATATTTTCTTAGATCAGCCCAACACACATTTTATAAACATGTTTTCGCAAAATGCCAAATACATGAAATGTTTAAACGACTTGAACATATTATTGAGATGCTGGTAAAGCTAAACTGCTGAATTGCAGTGAAAACAACCACTACATTAACCTAAAGAAAGAAAATACATAAATTACCCAGGAAGGGAAAGATTAAGACTAATTCAATTTTTGTATGATACAGCAAAAATGTAGTGCTCTGAGAAAAAGTGCCAAAGCCACATCAAGTTTTTATTGCAAAACGATGTGACTCTCTCTCTCTCTCTCTCTCTCTCTCTCTCTCTCTCTCTCTCTCTCTCCTCTCTCCTCTCTCCTCTCTCCTCTCTCCTCTCTCCTTTCTGTTTTCCCTCTCTCTGTGACTGAGCATTAGAAAGTTGGGTAAGTCCCCTTGGAGATAAAATCACACACAATTAGAAGTGTGCATGCATACATCACACACAAGAACATATGTGAAGAACATTAGCCTGAACTAAAAGATAAATCTGTGCACCTTCACAAGAGCTTAGAGACTTTAGCTCCAGAGGCCTGCATAGTTGCCATGGAGGCCTGAAGGGAGTGGACCTCCACCCACAAAGAGCTTCATCTCAGGCCAGTTGTAGCAGTGAGTGTAGAGTGCATTTGGGAATTCCTCAGTGCCACCAAAGTAGTTCACCCAGAGTTCATCTTGGTTGAGCCAGCCTCTGCCACAGGTGAGTTTGAGCTTCCTACCTGTGCGCGCAAGAAAAGAGTCTGGACTGGCTGAGGCCCTCTCCTCCAGGAACTTCTGTGCACGGATGTCATAAAAGAGCAGGGAACCATGTCCAGTGCCCACGGTAATAATGTGCTGGTAGAAGCTCAGAGAACGCACACCTGTGCCTCCCTCTCGGGAACACAAGGGTTTGATATTCTGCTGGCGTTGTCTTGGATCCAGGAATGAAACATGAGACTGGGATCCCACAGCATAGAGGGACAACTCGTCACAATAGGTGAGACATACATTTTCTCTGCAGTAGGGCAGCCTTAGGGACAGGAGCCTGGACAGGGAGCTTCGGGCTTTCCACAAGTGGAAGTAGCCATCCAGAGACACTGCTCCCAGCTCCTGGTTTTTGCCACTGAATGCAAGGGCTCTCACTTTGCGATTACCTGGGTTAGTGGTGGCCCTGGGAATGGCCTCCATGTCCCTTGGACGAATGTGCGAATACCGTGGAATCTCTGAATTATTGTGCCAGGGAATGTTGCCATTGAACATGTCAGGATCAACCCGCCAGAGTGCCACAGTGCCGTCCCGTGATCCACTCACAGCCACCGTGTCACTCATCCATGCAATGGCGAAGATCCAGTCCTTGTGGCCATTGCGATCCCCTAAGCACACAGGGTCTAGGGTGGGCAGCTGGTATACTGCTAGACTGTTGGGGTTTTCACCCCCTGTGGCCAAGAGGGTCTTGGAGGGATTCAACTGGATGGCGTGGATGCCACAGGTGGGTTGGGTACGGGTTTGTCCAGGTCCTCTGTCCTGCATCAGGGGAATGCGGGTAATTCTGCCAGTCTGGACGTCTACCACGAAGAGTGTGTTGCACTTGGTGCCACACACCACCTGCCTGGCATTTAGCCACTGCGACGCGAACACCTTGTTGAGGGGGCCAAGCGCCAGCTGGCGCTCCCTCAGCAGCTCTGGCAGCCTGAGGACCCCATAGCTGCGCAGGTCTCCCTTGAAGCCCGCCAGCCCCGGGTGGCCCTCGTCGCCCAGCGCCCGGCCCTTCAGGTAGTGCACCAAGGAACGGCGAGCCACGGGCCTCCGCGGCCTCTTGGCCAGCAGCAATGGCCCCTCCGCGTGGCCGGTCCCAGCCGCCGCAGAAGCGGGACCGGGCGACGAAGAACTCCCGGCGCCCCCCTCGACCTCGGCGGCTTTCCGTTTCCTGCTACCTGTTTGCTGAGGGGCCATGGTGGGCGGGCGGAGGGCTGTGGCTCGCCGTTCCTTGGTGCACTACCTAAGGGAGACCTGCGCAGCTATGGGGTCCTCAGGCTGCCAGAGCTGCT